CTTTCACTCCTTCTGTTTCTTTTTCTTTTTTTAATTTTTATTTTTTTTTATTTATTTATTTATTTTTTTTTTTTGAGAGAAAAAGACAGGGGCCTTTGGGAGGGCCTCACCATACTGCACCCTCCACCAGTCTTCTAGCCAGCCGGGATCACAGGTGCTCCCGGCACATTCAGGTCAACCGGGGATCCAAACGCTGACCCTCCCATACGGCCGTGGTGTCACACAGCAGTGGCCTCCTGCCTGCACCCCTGGGGCTGGGCTTCCTCTTCTCCTTCTGCAGCTTCTTTTTCTTGTCATCCTTTCCCTCCCTCCGTCCCTCCCTCTCTCCCTCTCTCTCTCTCTCTCTCTCTCCCGTTCTCTCTCTCTGCAACGATACAGCGAACGCATAAACTCTACATGCCACCAGCTCACCTCCAGGGCCGGCTTCTCAGAGGCAGCTGCCTCCCCAGTGTCACTCAGCATTTTATCACTGGGCTGTGCTTATTCGAGTCTATTCCATATGCTAAGTGACTGTTAGGAGAAATAGGATTACTGGGAGCAGAGGCAGAATGAGCAATTGATAGAGTCGGGCCGCCTGCCACGGGCTCTGGCTGCCGTTCTTCACAGGTAAATGACACATACAGGCTTACAAAAGCAACGCTCCCATTTTCTCAGGGCACATGGTTGTTTGTTTGTCAGATTACAGGTTCAATCAACGGTGACAAGCCATTGCACGGTGCGAGGCCTGGTGTGATCCCGTGTAAACCCGCAGTTCGATGGCAGACAGAAACCCACCCAACTGTTCTCTGAGGGCGGTTCCCACTGCAGAGAGGAGACAGATAACAGGGATTTTTGTGTTTTTTTTTTCCAACCGACTTTCTATGGCAGGGAGGGAAAGAAATTGTGTTCCCCAGGAGAAAGTGGTTCATTTTATTTTATTTTATTTTATTTTTGTAGCTGCAGGCAATCTGTGGATAAGTGGGTATTACGAGCCTGGTACATCGCTAATTAATAAGATCAATTGCCACTGTATTTTCTTTTACAAACTCATTTAGATATGTCAGGGCTGCAATTATTTTGAGAATGATCTGGCTTTACGCTTATTCATCTTTCCTCTTCCGCAAGGACCAAATAAAACTGTCAGCTTAAATGCCCTTTGAAGTCTGTTTTAGATCCTTGATTGAAAATTAAAAACAAAGCTCTCTAACCTAGTGACATTCACAGGGTCACAGTTCCTGTACTCCCATTGGTGTGCGTGTATGTGTGTGTGTGTACGGATGTTTTAATTTTTTTAATTTTATATAAATATGTATATAAAATAATATAATATTTTTATTTAAATAAACATTTATATATAAATAAATATTTAAATAAAAATATATTGCTGTATTCCTCTCAGGAGCAGCCGGGAATTAAACTCAGGTCTCTCGGGTAGTCTCAGCCTATTAAGTAGCAGTGCCCAGCATGATCTACCATGAATGGACCTGATTTCTACTTTCTTTTTAAAGTGTATTTTTCTTTTATGTATAATAGACAATGCATGCACGTGAGAGACAGAGTAAGAGAAAGGTCTCGACAGGGTCCCCTCACACTAAGGCCCCTTCCTCTCAGCCCCCTGCTTGTCAGGATCCCAGACACCTGTGCACACCCCGGGGAATCTGAATGCACGGTCAGCCGCGTGTCTTCCAGCACTGCAGGTCCGTATGCTCCCAACAACCTGCACCTCCGAGCCGGGTCTAGTTTTCACTTTGAAAGGGTAACGTGTTGGATTTCAGATGGCCTGTCGTACTCATGCCGTTCATCTCCTTCAGTCTGCAAGAACAGGGAAGACGGGACCAGCAATTAACGTAATGGCTATGTCACTGGACTCCATGTAGTCGACTGCGGTTCGTGTCCCGGACCTGGTGACTTAAACTCATGCCAGGCGCGTGTGCGTGCGTGCCCAAGATCCCAAGAGGAGAATGGAGGAGAAGGGATTGCAGAGTGGCCATCCCCCCCTGGGGGGTGATTTCTCGCTTTCTGTCTCTCTGTCTCTCTCTGTCTGGTGAGCACATGTGACCTATAGCAAAAACCTCTCAAAAAAAAAAAAAAAAAAAGAACTGGGAAGTCTTCCATTATGATAAAACTCTCTTCCCTCTCACTGGAGTCTCTCTGGTGAGTGCATGTGCACTATGGCAAAAACCTCTAAAAAAGAAAAAGAAAAAGAATACTGAGAAGCACTGGCAGGCACGTGGCTCCTGTGTCGTTTTTGTCTCTGAGAAGCTCTCTCTCCAGTTACATGCTGGAACTCTCGTTCTGACTTCGAGGATGATCCAGGGAGCTCTCTGCCTGCATGTCTCCTGTAACCATCACCACTAACCGAATGTGCAGAAACCAGCCCCACTCCCGAGGCCCCAGATGTCACCTCACCGGGTGGGGTGAGCTTCCTCTTCCGAGACCGCACACCCAGCTCTGACGGCTTCGCCAGACTCCCAAAACCTGGCTGTTCAAGTCCTCATTGAGAAGCTTCCCACGGATGCAGACAAATGAACTTGGTCATCCCTGCAGCGCCAGAGGGATGCTTCTAGACGCTCCATCTGGAAAGGGTGAGCCCAGACTGTTTCTAAAGGAGATTTAAACCTTTTCTTGGAAAAGACAGAGGCTACCAAGAGGCCAACAAATCAAAGAGTGCATGAGGGCAAAGAAGCCGACTGCTCCTGGCCGACCCCTGCCTGCTTCTCCCACCTCAGCCTTCTGTCTGACGTGTCTTTAAGGTTTTAACATCATCCCTCTGTTGACAAATAAAGGCTTTTCTGGAACGTGAGCTATTTCCAGAAGCTGGCAGACACTGACTGCAGCCCAGGAAGAGCTCAGAGCTCCTGGACGCCCCCATCCATTATTTGCACGGGGAGGCCCCAAGGTTTCACGCGAGCATTACATTCAGGGGCTGATGAATGCAGTCTGGCCCGGGCGGTAATAAGGGAGTTTCTAACCAGGTCCTGGCTAGACCTCGGTTTGTTATGGAGGAAAAGCCACAAAGGGGGCTGTAGAACCCTGTTCCTCGGAGAAACTGTCCTTGGGGAGCCCCAGGCACCGTTCCCGTCCGGCCATGTCTGGCCCCTCACTGGGGCTGCTGTAAATAACATTAGTCCGTCTTTCAGCAAGCTCGGGGAAGCTTATAAACTGAACACGGTTTTTGTTGTCTGTAGTCGTGCATTACGCTCAGTACTGTCGAGTCTAATTATTCTCATTAAGGCCTGAAAGTTTTAGGGATTAATTAAGCAGAAAGCAAAAGCTTCTACAGAGTAGCAATATTGTCCCCCCCCGCCCGGATTTCCCCCCATTGGTTCTGGTTGCCCATTCACCTTGTAAGACAGCGAAGTCGGGAGCTCATATAATATGGATTAGAAATCGCCTACATTTCACGTGTGCTATTCAGCCATGAAAATAAGTCCAGGCGCTTGTGCCGATAACCCAGAAGGCTCACTAATGAGAACCAGGCAGTGGGGCTAATGAGAGATTCAATACGTGCCGTCTCTCCTTCCCATTCCCTTTCAATTTACTTCCCACAGATTCCGGTGTGTGTAGGAAGTCTGAGTGGATGATGGCCTTGTTGTCTTGCCCTGATGGGAATCTGAAGGGATCTAATTCCAGTCCTTCCTGTTGTCTTCGTAGATGTGTCAACAGGTTGAGGAACTTGCTCAAAGCGTTGTCATTAATGGCAAGGCTCCTTCAAAAAGGAGGTGGTAGGAAACTTCTGGAAACATTGAGCATCCGTGGATCTATCAGAATGGCGAGAATGCTTAGTGCTTAACTTTTTATGTTTTTTTTTTTTTTATTTTACGTTCAATCACTGTATATCATTCCAGTGTACAAGATGAGTGTTCTCAGCACAAACACACCATGAGTCCAGTCAAAGACAAACTAAAATTCTAATTACAAACCCAAACTGTGCACTAGCTGTCTTCAGACTCTTCCCTGCCTCCCTAGTCAGACTCCCTCCCTGTGGAGATGCAGAGACTGGCCAGAGGAGTTCAGTGAGGTCACAAGACCCATGCGAGTGAACAGATGATCAAAAATAAGCATTGGCTCAGGGACCCTGAGCCCAAAATAAACCCAAACCCCCACTGCTTTAAGTATTATATAATTAGGGGTTTTGTTGTTCAACTAATTATCATTTTAGAGATGGCACCACTGAACCAAGACAGGAATGTAACCAGTTTGTGTCCAGAGGCCTCCCTGGATTCACAAGAAATGCGGGTTCCCCTGACCTGAACTGGCTGAGGCTGGGGGTGTCTCACATGGATGAAGCCTTGTTCGGGATGCCCGTCTCTCTATGTCTCATGGAAGAAATATATTATTATTTTTTTTAGGTTTTTGTCATAGGTTTTTGCCATAAAGAGACAGACAGACAGAGAGAAAGTGAGAAATCACCCCCCACCCCACCCCAGGGTGATTGCAATTCTCTCTCCTCTGTTTGGAATTTGGGGCCTGCACTCACACGTGCCCGGCATGATTCTCAAGCCAACAGTCCCAGGACTCAAACCATGGTCGACCGTGTGGGTGCCTCAACCACCACGCCACCTGCTGGCCCCAGAAAACCATTTTTTAAAACTTGATCAAAGTTTTTAAACACATACCATTGGGGTAATGAAAAAGGTTCAGAACTAGATGGTGCGAAGGTTTGCACACAGTTGTGGATGTAATTAGTGCCAGCAAACTGGACCCTGAGCATGGTTAAAATGATGAATATTATATACATTTCAGCAGGATTTTTGAAATATTAATAAGGTAATATCCCAGCACCCAGTGAACTGTATACACATTAAATGGGCAAATTGTGTCGTATGTGAGTTATATCTTAATAAAACTGTTTTTTTAAATGCAAACAAATTTTTAAAACATATTATGAGGAAGAAAAAAACTTAAAACTCTAATTAAATGGGGTCTGTGAAAATATTTGTAAAGACACTGTGCTCACAGAGGTGCTCAGTAAAGCCTCGTTCTGCCTTGACCCAGGCACCGGTTCATGGCTACTTCCTGGAGCTCAGCCTTTGTTACTTTTTTAGGTTTTTGCTACAGGATGTGAATGCTTGCTGGAGAGAGACAGAGACAGTGAGAGAGAAAGTGAGAAATCACCTCTCAGGAGGATGGCCATACCAGAACCCCTTCCCCTTCATTCTTCTCCTGGGATTCAGGTATGCATGCACAGGCATCCGATTTTCAAACTGCCAGGTCGGGGACTTGAACTGCAGTTGGCCATATGGGAGTCCAGTGCCTTAACCACCATGCCACCTGCTGGTGCTGGAGCTCAGCTTTTGGTGAGTGATGCAGAAGTTGATGTCTGACCTTGGCCTTGGGACAGTCAGGCTGCTCATCTCTCAGACTGTGACCACACAAGGCCCATTCTCCCTCTTTTCTGTGTCCTAGAGCCCCACGGGCAGGCTCCTTCAGCGCCTCTCCTCTCCTAATTAGTACCTCTCACATTTTCCAGCCCACCTTCTCTCTCCCAGGTTGTCCCTGAAGCCTTGAGCTCTTCACCACATCCCACCTTTGATGTTTGGAGAGCTGTGAGCACAGTTGCAGAATGTTTTGACTACGGACTCATTAAATAGCGACAATTTTCAATACACTGTATTTGTGCTCATGAAATACAGGAAGGTACAAAAGCAGAAACAACTTGTCACTTTACCCATTGGCACTAGATCGGGAGGGAGAGTCAAAAATTGCTGACATTTGCTGCAGAGGCATTTTGAGAGAGGACTGGAAATAGTCACCTAGCAATAATAGCAGAACTAAGTCCAAAAACATATATTCATGGGGAGGGACCATGTCCAACGCAGGCTTTTACTGTGATTCGATTTAATACTAGTGTAAACATTTGGCAACCTGCCATTTTCTCGGCTGGATTTATGCTTTGTCCCTATAAGACATTCAGCAAAGAGTGGCAGAGGCGTGCTGATGTTTAAGAAGACATGATTTAGGGCTAAGAAGAAAAAGAGAATAACCAAGGTTTTGTAAAGATAACACCCTACTACACGTAATAGGAACGTTTGGGAAGATGATGTTAAGAGATGTAGACACAGGACCAGCAGTTAGTGTAATGGCTATGTTGCTGGACTCCCATGTAGTTGACCGCGGTTCACGTCCCGGACCCGGTGGCTTAAAACTCACACCAGGCGCATGTGCATGCATACCCAAGATCCCGAGAAGAGAATGGAGGAGAAGGGATTGCTGCATGGCCATCCCCCCTGGGGGGTGATTTCTCGCTTTCTGTCTCTCTCTCTCTCTGTCTGGTGAGTACATGCACCCTATAGCAAAAACCTCTCCAAAAAAAAAAAAAAAGATGTAGACACAGAGGCTAGACACTGGGAAGAGCTGCAGGCCTGTTTGATCTGACTCTGATTTTTAGAAAGTTGGCAATTTGCATACTGCACCTGTATTAATCAGCTACTTGATTGAGCTGAGGCTTCTCAGTCCTTCACTCTGTCAAACTGTCTAGAATGACTCTGATTTTAAAATAAGTAGCAGGGAGGAGACTCGAAAGTCACCGCTCAATGAAATAATTTGGCATTTTTATTAGGAAATTGTTATATTTACCAAGGGAAAACCTCATTTTGACTGCAAACACAGAAAAACCAAGCAAGTAATTTCCAAGGCGGCATAAGGAAGATTAGTTAAGTACATATCTGTCCCCAAAGAAAGACAGGCCGAGCAGGTCCGTCAGACTCTTGGTTATTCAGAGTTGTAGGCAGATCACACAACACCTTTGCTTCTATTCTATTTGTGATTCTCAGTGACTTTCTTTTGGCATGGAGGGTTGGCTGTGAAAAAGTCATCCTGGGGCTGGTCCTGGGGCCCAGCAATAGAAGGACCCCAGATCCTCCATGGCCGACTGCAATGCAAATCCCACCCCAGTGGCTTGACGGACATGTCTGGCATAAGTGTGAGCTCAGGGTGCAGGTGGGAAGGAGAAATGGAGGAAGGAGGAGTGTGGCATGACCACGCTTCATTATGGGGTCCTTTTTCTCGCTCTCTGGCAGGTGCACATGCCCTCTGCCAATGAAAAAAATATATATATTTATTAAAAAAAAAAAAAGAGGAAAAGGCAGAAAGCCATTCTTAACTACCAAATGCTCACTTTCCAGTATTCTTTGTGTCTAGGGTGTCCTGTGACTTGGTTTTGGTCAAGGAGATGCCAGGTGGTTTGCAAAGCCTAGGGACTGGCTTTCCTTCCCAATAAAAATCAGGTGAGGTTGTAGAGTGACCTAGAGTCTCCCTTACCTCTACAGAACCAGGCCTAGTCAATGAGCTCTGACCAGGTAACTGTCCCCAAGCTGCTGGACCAAACAGATGGAGGGGACAGCGTGGCAACTGTCATTGTTTCTGTCCTGTACATGGCTATCCTACCTCGAACTGTAATAGCCATTTTGCAATCATGAGATCACAAGGATGAAAGGCAGGAAGCCAGCAGCTGAGAGCCCAGAATGGTGGAGCATGCCATAGTCACCCCTGGGAGGCTGAGACAGGAGGATCGCAACATGGTTAGACTTCAACTTAAGAAAGAAAGAAGCCAACAATGAAGGATTTCAGAGTGAACACAGGAGACTCCTGGCTCCCTGATGACTCAAGGGAGAAGCAGAACCAGCCTCTACTTACCTCCAGATTTCTTAAGTAGAAAAGCAAATGCCCATTGATTTAAGGTATCACTGACTGGGACTTTTGTTACTTGCAGCCCAAAGTATTCCTAACTGATACACCGTGTAGCAGCAATGCCTAAAACAAGAGTGAGACCCTTGGGATCTGAACAGTGGGTGCCCCAAGCAGACTGCAGGCACCTGGTTGCACCTTGACAAGGTTAGCACCAAGGACCTAAGACCAAATACTGAGATGGAGGGGATAGCAGGGGGTCTGTTTCCTGGTCAGAACCCATGGACGGGCCTTGTTCTGTACACAGAGGACCAGCAGGCAGAAGGAACAGTTAAAAATCCAAGGGGGTTTGTAAGAATAGGGGCACAGGTGTTGGGGACCTCAGTTAGAAAGCTCAGCACACTCCAGGCAGGCATCAGGGGACCTGCTTGGAGATCTCAAAAGACTCAACTTGGCTCAGGGCAGCTACAGTGAGGGACATGCTATACTATTTGGTTATCAGAAGGGCCTCCAGCTTTAGAAGTCCCAGGGGAGGACACCCTCGGCAGGGAAGAGCCATGGATGGGCTTCAGGACACCCTACCTCAAAATATGGTGCCTTGGCATTTGGGAAAACAGAAAAAGCAGTATGGTCCCTCTGACCTCTCACCTTTCCACCGTGCTTCTTCCTCAAGCAGGTCATACAATGTAGGAAGGAAGGATTTTCTGACCTTATGACCTTCCTGAAGTAGGTCATAAGACCCTCATTTGAGAGGCGAACCCTCTACCCAAGAGAAAGGAGCATCGTTATCTCTGCAGTTACAGGAACAGAGAAGAACCTGGATAAATGGGCCTGGCTAAGTTCCCCCAATTTATTACCATTAGATCACACTCCCTACATCAAAGTGTATTTCTCCATGACTGTTTGCCCATCAAGCCTACCATGAAGGTACACAAGTTTAGGGTTGGCCCCATGGTCTAGTGGTTAAGGGAGCAGGATTTCACCTGGCCAACTACAGTTCAAATCCTAGTTCCAGTGACTTGAAAAACACTCCAGGGCTGTGTGCTTAAAATCTTGACCGGACCAGCAGACAGTGTAATGGTTACATTACTGGACTACCACGTAATTGACTGCAGTTCGAGTCCCGGACCTGGTGGTTTAAAACTCATGCCAGGCACATGTCTGTACATGCCTAGAATCCTAAGAAGAGAATGGAGGAGAAGGGATTGTGACATGCCCATCCCCCATAGAGGATGATTTCTCACTTTCTGTCTCTCTGTCTCTCCCTGTCTCTCCAGCAAGCGCTCGCACCCTGTAACAAAAAATAAAAGTCCTGACAGGATGGAGACATGGACGAGAAAGAAGTCAACCACAACCATGCCACATGAGGTGCTTTCTCCCTCTCCCTCTCTCTGTTTCTTTGTGTGTCTCTGTCTCTCTCTAGTGAGTATACTTACTCTCTGGCAATTAAAAAATACACAAATTTAACTGTTTTAGGGGGTCTTCATTTTCTTATGAAGCCTCTTGTATCATGTAAAATTTGTATCAAAAAATCTATGCTTTTCTCTTCTTCAACTGTCTTTTGTTATGAACTTAATAAGGGAAGAAAACTACTTTCTCTCCCGTCCATCACAATGAGTCTTTCCTGCGCCCTGAGGAGCATTAACAAGAGAACAGCCCTGGAAGATGGTGAGTGAGAGAGGGAGGCTCAGCAGAATTAGACACGAGCAGACACTCGTGGCATTGCGGACTCACACGGTTCAGGCTGGTTCGACTTTCAGTGCACACTGCCACATAGTTTTCCAAGGTGTAGTAGCCATCTACAATGACGCCACATGTGCAGGACTTGAGAAGTCCCAGGGGCCCACCTCTCCCCACCCAACCTCTCAGTATTGGCAGTCTTTTTAATGGAGTTTTATGGTAGGTGTGTTGTGGGATCACATTGGGATCTCAATATGCATTTCCCTGAAGACTGAAATTGAAATCTTTACATATGCATTTGGTCATTTGCATAGCTTCTCTTTGAAATGCTTGTTCAGGAGCCAGTAAGTGGTGTGGTGGTTAGGGTGCTGGACTTCCACATGGCTGACCATGGTTTGAGTCCCAGGTCAGGCAGCTTGAAAATAACATGTGCTCTATGCCAAAAACCTTGGGGCAAAAAGAGCGAGAGAGAGAGAGAGAGAGAGAGAGAAATGCTTGTTCATGACTTTTGCCCATATAGCTATTACATGGTCTGTGTTTTTTCTTATTGATTAATGGGATTTCTTTATCTACTTTGGATAGGAGACCTTTGTCAGAAAGATATATTGCCAATATCTTTTCCTCCTCTCTGGATTGATTTTCAGTCTCTTAATCTTTCTTTTCAGAAACAGATATTCTTATTTTTTATGTAAATCTATCAATCACTTACGTTGTGGTTATTACTTTTTCGTGTCTTGTTTATGAAACAGTTTCTCACCTTAATGACTTGAAGGTAAGTAGACCCCTATTTTTCATCTAGAGTTGGATTATTTTAGCTTTCACATTTAGAGCTATAATTTACATGGATCTGATATTTCTTTTTAATCTGGTATAAGATAAGAATCGAGCTATGTTTTTCCATGTGGGTATTTAATTGACTCAGAAAAGATCACCTTTTGACCAATGTACTGTTGTGTTAACTTTGCCATAAATTGCCTAACTCCATGTGGATGGGTCTATTTTCAGTACTTTCCCCTATATACTGTGTAGTATTTCTGCTGTTTAGTGACTGACATGCCCCTTTTAATTGTTGTAACATTATAATCTCTCTTGCTATCATAAGGCCTCTAATTTTATTTTTCTCAAAGAGGACTTGACTATCACCCTTTGCACTTTCATATAAAATTTATGATCAGCCTGTCACTTTCTGCATCTCCCAAAAAGCAAAAGTAAGACATCCAAGATATCCTAAATACTGTTTATATCACTGGGCTTTTTATGTGATATTAAATCCCGAATTTATGAATACAGTTTCTTTCTCCTTTATTACACCTGTGTCATTTCTTTTACAAGATCTTTTTACACTTTTCACTGTATTTATTTTAGCTATTTGCTGTTTGGAGGTGCTATTGTAAAGGTATATGAAATTTATTTCCTTGGTACTTAGTGCTAGTATAAGAAATACAGTTGATTTTTGTATATAGAGATTGTATTCTGTGATTTTGCTGAATTTGCTTAACAGTTCTCATCATTTTATTATAAATCCTTTTGTCTTTTTCTACATTCATAAGCATATCATCTACAAATATTGATAGTGCTATATCTTCCTTTGAAACCTCATAGCTTTTCTTTTTTTTTTTTTAGAGGGAGGCTAGAAATCTAATACATCATGGAAGAGAAATTATTTAGGAAATCTTCTCATTCCTATAAGGGAGAGCTTTCATATGTAACCTTAAAGGTGGGTGATGGTGGGTGATTTCTTTTTTTGTAAATTTTAAAAATCATATTAAGGGAATGCTGTCTAGTTTTGTTTTGATAAATAAAGATGTTGATCAGGAACACATACTGAATTTATCTACTGCTTTGTCTACACTTCCTGAGGTGCCACATGACTCTCCTTTATTCTGTTAATGTGATAAGTCACAACTGCTATCTTCTCATTATTAAACCAATTTTATATCTTTGCAATGAACCCGAATTGCTTGTGATTTGTACTTTCGCACCTCGTAGGATTTGATTTGCTAATATTTTGATAAAGAATTTTAAATTTATATTCATAAAAGAGATCTGCCTAGAATTTCTCTCTCTCTGCGATCTTCTGGCCTTATTTTGAATTATATCAGACCCTATAAAACAAGTTTTAAATTGTCTATGGTTTTTCTGTTCTCTAGAAGAATTGTGTAAAATCCATGTGATTTATTTATTAAAGCTCAGAAAAATTCATTGGTGAAACCATCTGGGCCTGGAGTTGTCTTGAGGGAAAGGTTTTTAATAATGGATTCCATTTTAATAAATACTGAACTATTCAGAATTCCCATTTTTCTCTTTATTAATTTTGATAAGATCTGTCTTTATAAATCATCAAATGCATTGGCATAAAGGTGTTGATAATATCGTTTCGAGTTTTTAATGTAAGGAACACCTGGAATAACATGCCTTGTTTTCATTTCTCATGGCTAATTTGTGTCTCCCATCCCCACCCTGTCTCTCTCTCTCTCTTTCTCTCTCTCACACACACACACACACACACACACACACACAGTCTTCCTGTGGTAAGATATTTGCTGTTTGGGAATGCTACTGTAAATGCTATATGAAATTTATTTCCTTGGTAATTAGTGGTGGTATATAAGGATACATTTTCTTTATCTTTTAAAAAAAATCAACTTTCGGTTTTGTTGATTTTCTATATTACATGCATGTCATCTATTTTATGAAATCCTCACGGCTGTTATCGTAGGGTTTAACTGTGTCTTATTTTGTCATTAATTTCTGCCTAATTCCCTAACCAGACTATGCTTTCCATCCCTTACAATTTGTGCAGGCTCACTGACGGCCTAGCAAATAATCAGTTTTGGAAAATGTCTCCTATACACTCGAAAAAAGTAAGTGTTCTATACTCAGTGGTTGAGTTTCCCGGACACTGTCACAGTTTAAATTGTTGGACCTGTTCTTCAGATGTGCTCTAGCCCTACTAACTTTCCATTGCCTCTTTATTATTTACACACTCTGTTAAAATCTCCCACTATAGAACAAGCAGTTGGTGTAATGGTTACATCGCTGGACTCCCATGGAGTTGACTGTGGTTCAAGTCCCGGGCCCAGGAGTTTAAAACTCATCTGTGCCGAAAATTCCAAGAGGAGAATAGAGGAGAAGGGATTGTGGCGTGGCTGTCCCCCCAGGGATGATTTCTTGCTTTCTGTCTGTCTCCCCAGCCCTGTAGTAAAAAATCTCTCAAACCCCAAAAAACTTGTAAAGGTATCATTTTTTTGTTGTCTGACATTCACAGTTTCTTTTGAGAAGTCAGGTCTCTGTTTTACTATTGCACTTCCAAAAGCAAAGCATGTATGTCTGTGTTGTTTTGTTTTTTAATTATTTTATTTATTTATTTATTTATTTATTTTTGCTACAGGGCACACGTACTCACCAGAGACAGACAGAAAGAGAAAGTAAGAAAGCAAGCTGCCAGGTCCAGGACTCAAATCGCAGTTGGCCATATGGGCGTCCAGCACCCCAAGCACCGGACCACCTGCTGGACCCCGTTGTATGTTTTTGAATCTGGTTATTGTTAAGACTCTCTGTCTTTCATTCCCATCCGTGTTATACCATGATATCCAGAGGCATTCGTTTTATAGTTATCCTATCGGGGTTCACTAAGCTCCTAGAATGTGTGGCTATATATCTTTTTATGTTCCATTTGGAGAAATGTTTTACTATTATTGCTTCGAATTTTGCTTCCTTCACTCTCTCTCCTCCTTCTCGGATTTTTTTTTTTTAAAAAAGAATAATTTTTCTTTAAGTTTATTTATTTATTTATTTATATTTTACCAGAGAGGGACAGAGCAGCCAAGAGAGAGAAAGAGAGAAAGCAAGCCTCCAGATCTGGGATGTGAACTGCGGTCGGCCCTGTGGGAGTCCAGCGCCCTTAAACACCATGCCACCTGCTTGCAGTCTGAGACCCAGTTCCACATGTGTTAGGCCTTTCTCTAGCCCCTCAGCCTCTATTCAGAAAGGCCCAGGGGCCAGGTGCCCCAAGCAAACAATGCCTCTTGGGCCTTATAGGGCATTCTGTTCTGTACACATCAGGGAGGCTCTCCCACAAAGCTTCTACTGGCTTCATCCCATCCCAATTTTTTATCCTTCTCTTTAAATTCATTCCGAGATTTTTTTTTATGCAAAAGACAGAGACCATTCTGTTCTCTCTTTGGTGAGACCTACATCGTGCCTTAAACTTGAGCCTGCCGAGTGGCCCAGGGAAGATGCTGGGTCAAGACTTCGTCAGTTTAGACCTGAGTAGTAACCAGGAAAAAGCAAGGCCAATGAGTAAGGCAGGTAGAATAATGCAATGCTGCACCATGTACCTGCCCAGTTATTATATATACATACACACACACACACAGACACACACACACACACACACACACACACACAGCCTAAAACCACCTCCTTTCCCAAACAAAAGAAAACTAAGGGGAAAGGTAAATCTCATTCACTTTGTTCACGGTTCCCCGTGTTCTCCTCCCAACCACCCTACGAGGTAGATTTATGTCCCCACTGAGAGTGGGGGGACAGGCTCAGATAACAGGCAGGAAACGGAACAGGGAGGGCTTGAACTCTGGATTGTCTGTCTTCTTTTAAACACGGGCACTTTTAGGGGTTCAACAACTCCAACTTCCTTTGTCCCTCCCTGTCTTTCTCCATAGTGGTGTCCAGTAGACCTGCCGAGCACCAGGAGGCTGGGACAAGCACCCACTGCCACAGGCTTCCCAACCTGAATCCCGCCTGGGTTTGAAGATGATGTCTTCGGAGGGGTGGCCGAGCTTCTAGGCTGGCCTTCTAGGCTGGCTCGCCCAGTCCCACTCCTGCTTGGATCCTGACGGCTGTGTCCTGTGGCTTGCCCCCTCCCCTCCGCAACCTCCACTTCTCTGAGAGGCGGTGAGATTTCTGTCCACCTGCGGGGCTGCTCTTTTTCTCATGCAACAGTGAACCTTCTCCAGGGAGGGCAAGAAGCGAGCCACTTAATGAACACGGAGACACTCAAAACACACACAGGCAGAACAAGCCACAGGCGAGAAGAGACAGGGGCACCGCTATCCCTAAGGACGCGAGCGCCCGCCCAGGAGCTGGCTCGTGCGCGTGCCCAGGCTGTGTGCGCGTGCGTCTGGTGCCCACCATGCTGGCCGCGCAGGGGACACAGAACCTACGAGGGGCTGGCGTGTGACGGGTGGGGACACGGGCGGAAGGCGTGGGCAGCGTTGTCGCTGACAGAGCACAGGAGATGAAGGACACACCCCAGGCAGGAGACACTACTGGCACGTCCCCTGCTCTACCCGAGAGCTCCCTGTGCCCCGGCGTCCCCAAGGCTGGCCCCGCCTCGCTGGGCAGGCCCTCGCAGCCACCAGCCGTCCTCTTCCAGAGGCCCGTCACAGGGCTGACACCCACCGTTTCTCCCCGGAGTTCCCAGGATCCCGGGAGAGTGCAGCGCGCCTCCGCGCGGGTGCCGGTAGACAATCCGGGACCCGCAGCCACAGCGGGCTTCTGTGTCCCACTGTCAGGTGTGAGGGTGGGGGCGGAGGGTGGGGCTGTTAATCAGCTCGGCAACCCTGATTGCATCTTAATAACAAATGCAAAGCACCCGAGAGCAGCAATTTGCAGTAATGGGAAAAATCAGCAGGTCCCTGGGGGTTGACAGGAAGTAAACACTCTCCCCGCTCAAATTTGGGGGAGGAAAGCTCATTTGTCAGAGTGCAATGCTGGGAGCTGCCCAGGATGGGCGGAGACATGGAATAAGAGAAACTAGATTCGCCTTGGGGAGTCTTCCCAGGCCTCTCCTCCTCCAGCCTCCTGCCTCACCCCTACCTCCACCAGGAAGGCCTCCAGTGTTCCTTCTGCCACGCCCCCGCAGGAAACACACAGGAAAGACCCAGCTAATAAAACGTGGCCAACCAGTCGCGTGCAGCTCAAGGTGTCCCAGCGTGGGAAGTGACCAGGACAAGGTTCAGCTTTTTTCCCTGGTCTTTCTCCCCTGGAATACCTGAATCAAGGGAGGCTAGTACGGGGCCTGGTGGGTAAGGCAGCTGGATATCACACCACCAACCACATAGTTCGAGTCCTGGACCAGGCAGTTTGAGAAACATACTGGGCGTAGCATGTGCCTGGGGGCCCAAAATCCCCAAAGGAGGGTGAGCTGGTGGGGAAGGATTGAGTCTTGGCCACTCCCAAGGGGCAGCGGCTTTCTCACTTTCTGGCCCTGTCTCTCCGGAGAGCACATGGTCCTATACTGAGTTTTAGAAAGTGGGGAGGGTTGTGACCTCATTTACACAATGTCCCTCCTGCCAGGACAATCCTTGCACTTTCCCTGGGAGGGACAGCAGCTGGAAGGACAGTCCTGTTTGGTAGGGTCCCTTTTTCTCCCTCTGAGATCGCTCCCTGCACTGAGCGCATGCATTTCTCTTATATGTAATTCGATTTGGATGGTTTCTTGACCTGCGTCCAAATCGAGCCATGGGTAATTATTACTGTCACTGTTGTTATTAATACTGATATTTATCATAATCTCACGAACGCTGGGGACAGCCCTTAATCTTGCTGTTTTCCTTGGTTGAAAGGAAGATAGGAAGCACTGCCCCCCCACCCCTCCAGTTTAACCTCTTGTAGTCACTTTTAAACCAAATTCTTACTATGTGAATAATTAGCCCAATTTCCAGGGATCTTGAGTCACCAGGAACTCTGAATTACATTCGGAAGATAGAGCTGAGGCCAGAGGGCGGACATGACTAGAAATCAGACTTAATTCACTGAAATGAGAAATTGCATGAGTAAGGAAGGACTTGTTATCAGGCGTCCTGTGAAGGAGTGAGCCCCCCGTCACCAGACATATGTAAGTACAACTGGTCTTCCTCCAGTTCATAGAAAAAGAGCATTATGGAGAAAGCATGCTTGAATTTTCACTTTTTTCACCCAAACAAACTTGTCCTTTCATTTCATTTTCCACACACTTTTTGAAGACCCCCTCATAGAGCCCCTCCAATCATCCACTAGGTACACTGTTTAGAGAAGGACAGATTAGGACCACGGTTCTCACACTTCAAGTCTGCCAGACCACGTGGAAGTCTCGTCCACCAGATCTCTGGGGCCTAGTCCCAGCATCGCTGACCCAGCGAGTCTGAAGCAGGCCCCAAGAACTTGCATGTCTACACTGGGCGTTACTGAGCCCATGATGGGGGTTGGCTAAGGCTGGGAGTTCTCGGTCTCTCTATCTCTCGCTCGTAGAAGAAATATCGGGTTGTCAGGAAAGTCATGATGTATTTTTGCATAGGAAAACACAGGATAAAAGTCATGACTTTAACAACCACCTAATAAACAAAAAGCCACCGACTTGCATTTCTGAGTTCCCTGCAGCCAGTTCGAGGCCCACTCTACTACGGGGAGAGTCAGCTTAGATCCTGCGCGCTTTCCTCCTGGTCTAAGATTGCGCGATACCATGAAATGAGAATTCTCGCAGAAGTGACAAGACTGGCTCAAGTTACAGCGATAAGGCACTGTCGTCCTCTTCCAAACCTAGCACAGATGTTTCACAGGAAGACAATCCACATCTTTGCCTTCTAGTGCAGTCCTGCCTCCAGAGAGAACCTGATTTATCCCACGAAGACGCTGAAGTCTGCTTTTTCTTTTTTCCTACTGCCTCATTTGGCTGGAAATTTTCCACTGCCTTATTTAGTTCAGGTAGAAAACCTCATTTATTCAAAAAAGATAAGCCCCTGATTTTCACCCTCCCTGGAAAAACTGTATATTTTCTGATGCAGACACTTTCAAACAAAAATAAACCAAGAAAATCCTCTCCCCTGACTTGTAATGAGCATTATGTGGTCACACCACCCCATCGGGTGATCACTGCTACTCTACTTCATTCCAGGGCTGGGAAGTCACCTGGAATAAGATTTTGTTTTTAAAGAATTCTTTATTTAATTGTATTTATCATTATTTTTTAATTTTTCTATAAGGCATGTGTGTTCACCAAAGAGAGAGAGAGAAAGTGAGAGAGCAAGCTGCCAGGTCTGGGACTCGAACCACTGTTGGCCATGTGGGAATCTAGTGTCTTTAACCACCACACCAACTGCTAGCCCCTGGAACAATGTTCTGTGTGAACTCCATGTGAATCCCACCAGCAGCCGTAAAGGGGGACAAGGAGTAAGACAGGGTCCCAGGGACACCTGATAAAACACCACATCATCTGAGGACCTTCCATGTGCATTGTCAGGGTAGATGAAATGAATATCATGAACTCTATTTTACTGATAAGGAGGGAGACACTGAGTTTCTGAATTGCCCAAAAGTCCCAACAAACAGCAAAGAAAAATTCAGATTTTTCTGACTCTCGGGGTGGTCTTCTCAGCAACCTCACCAAGCTGCTCTCGGAAATAAAGCAGTAGGCGGCAGCGAGACAGGGATGACACGGGAAATGGTAAGCCTGCAGCATCTGGACAGGGCCCCTCCCTCCTCTTCCTCCTCCTCCCCATCTACCTACCCATCCATCTGTCCATCTGTCCGTCCATCCATCCTTGCACCCATCCATTCTTCTCATTTTAGAAATGAAGAACAGGCCCAGAGAGGTGAAAGATCACACAGCTAATTAGTAGCAGTGTTGGGACTAGAACTAGCAAGCAGTTAAGTCATCTGACTCAAACACAAACTATATACACCACACTCCTCTTTGTGCGGCCTGGCAGCATCCCGTTGGGACATATTTACTGATACGTTCCATTTCCGGTTACCCTGTCCCTCCCTCTTGCTCCAGAAGCAGCTCAATATTGAACGTGTATTGCTCACATGACAGGAGGCAATACAGGGCAGTCACTTCTTGGGCACGTGGGCTGCCAGGTAGATAGTTTTGTGGGGAGCAGGGAGCTGTCCAAACAGAGTCACCCTGAATCAGCATGATGGTAAGGCCAGTGCGGTGGGCCAGTCTCATGACCTCTACTCCAGTCAGTGGAGTGGTCTGCTCCCAGGCTGCCCTCCTAGAAGCAGAGCCCAGCACTGGGGTCTTGCAGGGTGCTGTCAGTGGCCTTGACCTCTCAGCAGCTGGTATCTGGTAGACCCCCACATGGAGTAAAGGGCCAGAAAATGCCCAAAAGGGGAGAAACAGGGTCGGGGCCCATGCACATCTCAAGAGAAGGACTTAGGTGCAAAGAAGAGATTTCAAAGTACAGAGTCCCTGAGTTATGGGGTCTGGGGCGGGGGTCCTGTCTGTCTAGGTCTAAGGGCAGTGCCACACCAGACCTCAGGGAGGAAAAGGTTGGTATAATCTTGGGGACTTAAGGCGTGAAAAAGATAGAACGACATAAACATGAGGTTTCATTGGGGGGAGGCTAACAGGTGGCATGGTGGTTAAGGTGCTGGATCCCACATGACTGACCATGGTTTGAATCCCAGACCTGGCAGCTTGCTTTCTCAGTGTCTCCCTCATTCTCTTTCTGACACTCTTCTGCTGAGCACATGTGTCTTATAGAAAATTTAAAAAATAATAATAGTAATATATGAAACTAAATTAAAAGAAAGAAGATTCCATAGGGGAGTGAGGGAGAGGAGAGCTGGAGGAGGGAGGGAAGGCCGGGATGCTGCCAGGTCCTGAGTTCTACCCAGCCAAGTAGGAAAGAGGAGGGGAAGAAGTGACAGAAGCCTCCAGGCAGAGTGTGGACCCTCTGGGCCTCAGGAAAGCACGAGGGTGGTCATTTCCACCCCCTCCACCTGACTGGCCAGCCTGGCAGGGTCAGGAGCAGAGGAAATGACTGTGAGGGGCATCGGGTGGGGGGCGAGGCAGCCCAAGGAGCCCAGCTCAGTGTGCACTGCACCTTGACAGGTTTCCTGTGCTGCTGAGAGTCATGAAGCCTGGTACAGACAGGGACCAAGAGACATCAGCAGAGAGACAGACAGAGAGGGAAGAAAGCAAGAACCTGAATACACGAGCACCTACAAGGTGTCCAGCACAGCCGGGTGAGGCAGAGGACCTCTCTGCAGAGGCAGGATGGAGATGGGACAGACCCCAGGAGGAGGGAGACCTCCTCCTCTCTCCTCCCCTGCCCCCTGCATTTCACCTCTGTCTGCTCCTGGGGTGCACAGACAACCTTATAGCAAGACTTGGGGCCTGGTGGTTCAGAGAGCCAGATCCCACATGGCCAACCACATGATTCAAACCCCAACCCCAGCACCAGTGGCTTTTCTTTTTCTTTTCTTTTCTTTTCTTTTCTTTTCTTTTCTTTTCTTTTCTTTTCTTTCCTGTCCTTTCCTTTCCTTTCCTTTCCTTTCCTTTCCTTTTCTTTGGAGAGGTTTTTGCTATAGGGCACGTGCGCTCACCAGAAAGACAGAGAGAGACAGAGACACAGAAAGTGAGAAATCACCCCCAGGGGTATGGCCATGCCGCAATCCCTTCTCAGGATCTTGGGCACGCACACACATGCGTCTGGCCTGAGTCTAAGCCACCGGGTCTAGGACTCGAACCATGGTCGACTACATGGGAGTCCAGCAGCATAGCCATTACACTAACTGCTGGTCCCAGCACCAGTGGCTTGAGAAACACCCTGGGAACATGTTTGCATGCCTCAAATCCCAATGGGATGCAGAAATGGAGGAGAAAGGATTTTAGTATGATTACACCTCATTGGAGGGTGCTCTCTCCCTTGCCTTCTCTGTCTCTTTTTCTCTCTCTAGTGAGTACATGCCCCCTTGGGCAACATTTTAAAAGAAAGGAAGGGGTGGAGGGGTCGTGATTTGGGTAAGTATAAGTTCTCACCACTTGGCTGAAGGGGGGCTCAAAACAGAAATCCAGTTGTCACCAAAAACAGAACTACTTTCAACACTGCATTTTTGCACATCTTAGATTTTGATCTAGCTTCCTACCTACGAAGAGAGGCTTTAATGAACATACCAGCTAAAATCCTGGGAAATGTGGCTGGATGGGTCCTGGGGCTGTGGCTGGGAGACTCTGGTGGTGGTTGGGCAGAAGAAAACGGCTGGGGGAAACCCCGCGTTCCCGCTGTATCCTGGGATTCTCAGCGCTGCTTACAGCTCCTAAAGGCCACGGAGAAGGAACAGACCTGAGTACTTTAGCAAGGCTCTCTGTCCCCCTCTCCATCTCCCAGCCTCTTCTAAGAGGTCGTGAACGCAGGTAGAAAGGGTTCTGAGCAGGACCAGCCTGGAATGCAAAGGTTAAACCCTGTGCATAGGGAGCAGATCCCACATGGCTGACTGAGTTTGGAATCCCGGCCCCATGACTTGAAAGACATGCTGGGCGCTGTGCATGCCCAAATCCTGATAGGATGGAGAAATGGAGGAGAGGAATTGTGACATAACCATGCTCCACTGGGGGGGAGAGGGGGTGCTTTTGCCTTCTCTCTTTCTCTCCCTCTCTCTCTGGCAAGCACACATGCCCTCTGGCAAAATAAGAAAAAAGGTAACTCCGAGCCTGTCCTCCAGGGGGCAGTAGACTAGCTGGAGCTAAAGGCCAGGTGGGTTGGGTGAGGGGCACTGCTCCAGCCTTGCACGGTGTGAGCAGGGAGTAACGCCCAGGCACACAGGCACCCTGACCCCTGCTGAAGGAGCCCTTCCTCCGGCCCTCAGACAGGCAGAATTAAGGGAAGCTTTAGACAGACCCCAGAGGGGAGGGCCTCGCTCCGGAACACCTGCTGAAGTCATTCCCTCACTCGGCATGAATCACAGCACCTTCTGTTGTTTTCAGCGGCAAGGACACTCTTGTCTTCTCACCGAGAAAGCCTGGGTCACCGGAGGACACTCCTCGCAGCGATCCAGCTGGCCTCGCCCTCACGTCCCCCGATGCTTTGTGTTCCCTTCAGGAGCGATGGCCATCTTTTCCACTGTAACCAAGCAAGTCAGAGGATTAAAAAAAAACCCTTTGTAATCTGCGAAATAATGCCTTGATCCTTTGTCCTCTTTCAGAAAGGAAGAGAGCAAACTAATACCCTAACAGGGTTTAACATGGGCTTACTGAAAAGAAACAAATGCTTTTAAAAAAAGGCGTAATAGGAACCGTTCATACATATGAATGCTCATCTGCATGTAGAAAATCTACCTCCAAAATACGGTTTTGGGGAACAGCATTGCCCTATAAGAATAATTAGGGCAGGTAACTGTTTATTGCCTCTGTGCGTGTATCATGTATGTACGAGTGTACGTTCTATACAAGGGGACTTCAAAAAGTGTGTGCAAATGAAATCCAAGTACGAGTTTATTCTGGTGCAAAAACTATTCCAAAATCCACATGTCATCTTTTCTTCCTTTTTTTCTTAAAAAAAAAAAATCTTCTCTTAATATATGTTTTTCAGGAAATGTTTTGCCAGAGGATGCCTGAACTCACCAGAGAGAGCGAGGAAGAGTGAGGAAGAAACTGAGAGAGAGAGAGAAAGAGTGAGAGGGGTAGACAGCGCCCTCCCAGGGCTGTGATCATGCCCAAATCTTTCTCCTCCACTTCCCCTGGCTGTCAGGACTCTGAGCACACACATGTGGGTGGTGTGTTTTTCAAGTCAAGGGCCAGGACCGAAACTGAGGTTGACCCTCCAACATGTGGGATCTGGCTCTCAGTGCACAGCGTTTAACCACTGTGCTGTGGGGCCAGCCCTCCATGAAAGTTGTGAAGACCCTTGTATGTGTATATGTATAGAACATGTATTATATATATCTATGTATAGAAAATGCATGTGCATATGTATAGAACATGTGTATGTTAATCTATGTATATGCATAGTCTAGGTATATATAGTAAATGTATAATATATGTGTGCATATAATAAATGCACGCTCCTAAGTATGGACCATGTATATGTATAGTCTATGTAGTATGTGTATATGTATAGTTGATGTATATATAGTACATGTATATGTCTATGTAAAGTAAATGCATGTGCAAAAATGTATAATATGTATATGCAGTCTAGGTATAATATATGTATAGTCTCTATATAATAACTGTATAATGTATGTTTGTATCATAAATGCATGTGCATAAGTTTAGAACGTGTATATGTATAGTCTATGTATATATATAACAGTATAATACATGTATAGTAAATGCATGTGCTTAAGTTTAGAACATGTGTATGTATAGTCTATGTATAATATAATATAGTCCATGTATATATAATAAATGTATAATGTGTATTTGTATAGTAAATGCACATCCATTAGTATAGAACATGTATGTATAAGCAGAGCCTACATGTGTGTAGTATATGTATGAAATATGTATCTGTATAGTCTATGTATATGCATATGTAAATGGAGAAACATAGCTTGTCATATATTGCATCACCTCTAATCACTTATGAAGCTGTTACTGATGGTGTCCCCATTCCTCAGCACCGCCTTGGGTACAATGAGGTGCATAAAAGAATGTGTAGCTGCCTTCACCCTCACAGAAATGACACTCTAATGTGGGATCCAGGATGATACCTACAGGCAACCATTAGAGAACAATATGAAAATTTGGGACCAGCAGTTAGCATAATGGCTATGTCACTGGACTTCCATGTAGCTGACCGCAGTTCGAGTCCCAGACCCGGTGGCTTAAACTCACGCCGGGCACGTGTATGTGCGTGCCCAAGATCCTGAGAGGAGAACGGAGGAGAAGGGATTGTGGTGTGGCCATCCCCCCTTGGGGGATGATTTCTCGTTTTCTGTCTCTCTCTCTCTCCGTCTGTCTGGCGAGCACACGCGCCCTATAGCAAAAACCTCTCAAAAAAAGAGAACAATAGGAAAATTATTACAGCTAGTAAATACTGTGAGAACCACATTTGTTAAGGGCTGGCTAAATGCCAGGCCTTTGCCTATGCATTGCACATATACCAGGGCATTACCACCTTAGGCACATATGCAAGTATTGTCACTAGACTAGTTTTATACAACCAGAGAGTGAGAGACTCGAACTAGCCCAACATCACGTGGTCAGTGTGGCAGGACACGAACTCAAGTCTGCTGGACCTCAGGCCACTGAAGGACTCCCGGCTTCTGCATCTGTGTTAATGAGACAGACAGAGAGTAAGTGGTCATTAGGAGAAGCCAGAACACTGAGACCCAGAATGGCCCCAGAGGGCTGGAGGGGACTAGGTACAGTATTGTCCCAGAACGCACAAAGCCTGGCCTGGCTGGGCCCACAGGATAAACATGGGCAGCTGAGCTTGGGGCTTGCTGATGCAGAGTAGTTGAGCATTCTGGGTGACTGGGGTTCTGCTCCCAGCTCCCTCTGACAAGCCCTGGATAGGTTAGTGCCTTTGCAATGTCACACCTGGGCTGTGAATGGTGGTAATTAAACAAGCTGCGGTCCCCATCATGTCTTGGGAACAGGGGTCAGAGGAGGACACGGTACAGTTCAGGGCTCATTTCAGGCCATCCTGAAGCTTCTCCTCTGTGGGGCCCTCTTTGACTGACTCGTGCACTGTGACTAATCAGATCGGCACAGACTCTGACACCCAACACGGTCGCGACGGTGTATTTCACTTCCCTGTGAATGGATGCTAAGTTTCCACGCTTTTCCGTTCCAGGCCTTCAACTGTCTTCAAGGAACCCAGGTCTCAGTGATCTGTGAAATAGAGTATTAGATCTCAGTTGTGTGAAACCGGAGTCTAGGCACCCTGCCCTTCGGAAGAGAGGTAGAAGTGAGACTAGGGAGAAAGATGGAAGTGGGAGATGAAAACAATCTCTCTTTTTTTTTGGGGGGGGAGAGGTTTTTGCTATAGGGCACGTGCGCTTACCAGACAGACAGAGAGAGACAGAGAGACAGAAAGCAGGAAATCACCCCCCAGAGGGGATGGTCACGCTGCAATCCCTTCTCCTCCATTCTCCTCTCGGGATCTTGGGCACGCACGCACACGTGCCCGGCATGAGTTTTAAGCCACCAGGTCCAGGACGCAAACCGCGGTCGACTACGTGGGAGTCCAGCGACATAGCCATTATGCTAACTGCTGGTTCCCATGAAAACAATCTTGTGGGAGGGTGAGAAATGTAGATCTAGGGACCAAATTCTTTTTCTTCATCACAGACTAACTCATTAACTTAGTAGGGAAAAGGTCTAAGGGGATGTTTCTGAGCACCTCTGGACAATTTTCTAAGTCGAGTTTCCAAATCCTCTGGTGTATAATATACCCCACCAAGGGGAGTCCTCAGTGTGCCCTTGAAGTCTTTAGCAGACATGGCGCCAACAATCCGCATGCATATCTGGCCTCCTGACAACACTCAGAGCGCAGTATCATGCTCCTCGTCTATAAAGAGGAACTGGGTTGACAAGAAGTTCCGTACTTGCTCAAATCAAATGACAACGGAATGCCAGGATTCAAACCCACATCTTCCTGAACCCAGAGCCTGAGCTCTTGACCAATGCTTCGGGTGAGATTGGAGATGAAAAAAGGGAAAATAAAGAGGATGGAGAGTCACAGGAGCGCATTGGCTGTGGAAAATGCACGCGGCCTCGGAGGGAAACTGCCATCTCTGTGTGTGTACATCAGTCCCAAGAAATGAGGTGGGTCTTCATTGGCAACGAGGCCAAGAGCTTTCATGTAGATAGGTGATGTGGCTTAACCCTCTCTTGATCTGTTTGAGTCATTCCTGCAGTCATGGCATGAAATGCCAATTCTTCTTTGCCTTTCCTGCTATGTTGTCTCGGCGTCTTGCGTTTGTTTAGTTGAATTTTTATTAAGATAGCTTGTAGGGACCAGCAGGTGGCATGGTGGTTAAGGCATTGGACTCTGACATGGCCGACCACAGTTCGAGTCCCAGACCTGTGGCTTGCTATCTTTCTCTAGTGAGTGCATGTGCTCTATAGTGAAATGAAAGAATAAATAAATGAAATGAGTTATCTTTTTTTTAAAAAAGGACACGTCAGGACCTGCAGGTGGCATAGCGGTTAAGGGTGTTGGACTCCCACATGGCTGACTGTGGTTTGAGTCGCAGACCTGGCAGCATGCTTTCTCACTCCCTACCCCCTTGCTCTGTCCCTCTCTGGTCAAATTAAAATAAGTAAATAAAGTTAAATTTAAAAATAAAAAATAAAGGATCTTTCATCTGCCAGAAACAAAAATCATTAAAAAGAAAAAAAAAAAGACTCTTCATATTCTTTGGTATGAAGTGTTTTGGCCCCATTTTAGTGTGTTGAGTTTCTTTTCTGTATCTCCATAGAGGAGACTCGTGAGTGTAAGGGCTAGGCCAGTGCTGTCCCATAGAACGCATCGCAGTGACAGAAATGTTCTGTATTGGCACTCTCCAATATGGCGGCCACTAGGCATGTGCGGCTATTGAGTATCTGAAATGCTGCTCGGTTTTTAATATAAGTGAGTTTAAGAAATAACTACTGATGGCCGATGGCTACTCTGTGGAGAGCAGGTCTGGATGCTAGGCTCTTTAGGAGGAAATAAATCATCTTTATCAGATACTTAATACTGAATTTTCTTGAAAGAAGTGCCAGTTGGTATATCGAAAAGAAAATGGTCTTGGCAAAGTAACTTTGTCGCTTAGAAGTAATGATAATAATCATTTTAGAAATACTTTGTAGTTGATACAAGTTTCTCCAACATTCTTGCTATTATTGCAGATGGGAATCTTGGCTGGGTTAAATATAACATTTGTTCCGAAACATTTTTAAGCACCTTTTTCATGCTAAGTGCTTCTGGAAGAAAAAGGCAGACTTTTTTTGCGTGTTGACAGTGAAGCAAGAACAAGAAGATGAGTAAGGAGTATTACTGTAAGTGTGCCCTCAGTTATGGTCACGGAGAGGCAAGGTGTGGACACGAACAAAGACAGATCCATGAGCAGGGGCCAGCCTCAAGGCCTAATGGGTAAGGACGCTGGATTCTACATGACTGACCACAGTTTGAATCCTGGCCCCCACAGTTTGAAAAACATGCTGAGGGGGTATACATGCTTGCCCCTAATCCTAACAGGGTGGAAAATGGAAGAGAAGGAAATGTGGCATGACCACACCTCATTGGAGGGTGCTTTTTCTCTCCTTCTCTCTCTTTCTTTCTCTGTCTTTCCCTGGTGGCCTCTGTCAAAATGAAAGAACAACTCTTTAGCAAGGCTCTGTTTTGGGGGGCTGACAATCTCACAGGAGAGAGGCTATGTCAGCAGGCGAGCAGTGCAGGGCCCTTGGCCCAGGGGTGGGCAGAGTGCAGTTGGCTCAATTCTACCTGCAAGGATCAGAACAGTTTCCAGAAGCAGCTGCCCTCAAGCCGAGTCTGGAGAGAAAATACAGTGGTCAAACTATCCCAGAACCCAGGAAGGCAGAGTTCAAGGCAGAGGACAGACAGACATGACTCTCAAAGCACCTACTATGTTCAAGATGCTCAGCAAAGGGGATGACCGAAGCCTCAAAATAGACGTAGTAAGAATTGTCCACACGCTGCCCATCAGAAGAAGAGGAGCCCACTGCTCCTCTTGTTTTCACCCATTTCCTGCCCATCTCTCCCAGAAGGAGACACATACGGAGAGCCGGCCTGGACTGGGTATATCTGCCGTGACAGCTCCAGCTCCGAGTTGTGCCGGGGATACAGTTCTAGTGTCTCTTTGCTAAATGAATCGTCAAAAATCCTTTGCCACTGATACAGCTATTCTGCTCTCATTTTTATAACCAAGGACGCTGGAGTTGCAGGATTTGTCTGAAGTCACAAAGCTGATCCGAGACAGCTCCCCTGTTCTACCCGCCAAGGAAAAGGTAGGTTTGCCTACCAGGAAAACCACTGCTTTGTCCTGATATGCCCAGAAGACCCGTCTCTGTATCCCATGAAGAGCAGGGGACACTGTCTTGATCTTCAAATTTCCCGTTTCCTTCTGGTTTCTCTGGATGCAAGGACGCAAGAAGCAAGAACTGATATGGAAAACAGAGGCACAGTTAGAAAAGGAAAGTCCTGGGACCAGCAGTTAGCGTAACAGCTATGTCACTGGACTCCCATGTAGTTGACCGCCGTTCGAGTCCTGGACCCAGTAGCTTACACTCATGCCAGGTGCGTGTGCTTGCATGCCCAAGATCCCGAGAGGAGAATGGAGGAGAAGGGATTGCGGTGTGGCCATCCCCCCTGGGGGGTGATTTCTCACTTTCTGTTCCTCTGTCTCTCTCTTGCTGGCGAGTACACACGCCCTATAGCAAAAACCTCTCAAAAAAAAAAAAAAAGAAAAAGGAAAGGAAAGACCTAAAGCCAAATGTTTTTACCCAGCAGACAAAAGGAGGAGAGAGGGGAGAGAAAGAGGAGAGAGAGGGTGTCCTGGCAACTCAGTCTCCCTGCCCTCGCCCCCTTACCCCAGCCTGCTTGGCAGGACACTGGAATGTTGCACTGTGGGAACACCCACCTCCCACTGCAACGAGGATGCATGCTCTGGACTGATTTTCTCAAAGCATTTGAGGGCTGAAGCCCAGGACGGCGGCAGGGGGAGTGGTGTGCAGATGGGGAACCCTGAGAAGGAAAGACAACCACTGTTTTTCTTGTTGATGTCTAGGGAGCAGTTACTGAATTTCTCCCTCCCCACTGTCCCCCTCTTCCTGTTGAAGAGAGCACACGTTAGAGCGACCGCAGGCTTTCATCCAAAGGAGCAAGCGCCCAGCAAGGCTGGCCCTTGCCACGCTAGTGGGGTGTCAACATGGGCGTCTCGGAGAAATTCTTCTTGAAGAGTACTTGAGTCAATAACAGCAGGGAAAATGGCAAGTGTGTGGAGTGGCCCGGAGTGAGTGTGCTCTGTGAATAACGAGGACAACAGGGTTCCTTGCACTGTCCACTCGCCAAAGAGGGTGCTTAGAAAAATGCACAGAAGCCTTCCGGCACTCCTGTTCAGAGGGGAAGGCACCGTGTCCGTTTATAAAGGGGGTCCACAGCAAGGTGTGTTTTGCCGAATTCAAAGCACCAGGTGCAGGGAAGCTGTTGTAGAGGTTTGATCATGGCCCTGTTTTTGTTTGTTTTGTTTTGTTTAAGAGATTT